TTATTTTTATTTTTTCGTTTTTTTTTTAAAGGTGGAACCTGCGAATTGAAAATGAAATTGATGTGACTCCCTAAGATGTGGTTTGGAAACATTATATTTAGGATACTTATAACTCAAAAATTCTAACAATTAAGAAAGATTTTAGGTTATTAAAAGAATTAAGTTTAACAACAACAACAACAAAATGCTTGTTTCTTATAACATGCGAATTAAGATTTAAATTCTCATCAAAAAATATATTTACATTTAATATTTAATTGTATTTAAAAAAATTATTTCTTATACATTAACACGTGTGTAATAAAAAAAAGATATATTCTAGACTCAAAAGGATATTTATAGAAAAATTCAATATTGGTGGTATTTTAATCAAGTAGATGGACCAATTTTATTAAGACCACAATATGTATTAAATAAAGGGAAAATGACATTGAAGAATGTCTAAAGGAACAAAACCAAGCGTAAAAATAAAATGAAAGGCTTAGGTCCTTAGTGGATTGAAAATCAGTTATAAAATGTTGAAGAACAATTATATAAATAGTTGAGGATCAGTTGTAAATTAAAAAGAAAGGCGATGTTTGAGATTTCTAATAAGATTTAAATTTTGTTTGGTTCACTCGTGTTACTTATAAAAAAATTTTAAAAAAAAATTACACGGCTTAATGATTTGCTGGGTTTCAGTTGTACTTTATATCTTGAAAAATATCTGAGAATTTCCTTGCACCATAATAGAGTTAAAAAAGATACCTACCAAGTATGTTGTGAATAAGGTCAAAACTAGATTCAACAACTGGAAAGCAAAATGCTTTTTCACTTGCAAACTTGTGCAGACACACTCGTCACTTTACCCCATGCAGGCAAACTTGTGGAATTCCTTTAACTACTTGTGATGAAGTTGAAAAGAGTGCTTGAGGATTTCTTTTGGGGTATCCACATATGAGAAAAGGAAAGTTTATCTTGTAACTTGGAATGATGAGCTAAGGCTATGTGAAGAATATTGGAAACTTAAGGTGAAATTATTATAGAGGGTTAGTGTGTTATAATTTATGAATTATACATCTTTCATTAAGATTAGGTTTTACATTCATTTTAATAGCAGCTTGTCAAAAAAAAAAAATCATTTTAATAATTTTTTAAATTTCATATCATATGCAAAATCATTTTTTCTTATGACTTTCCCATGAATGAGTGATAAGATTTTACTAATAGAAAAACAAATAATATTATAACATAAATTCCCAATATATCACACTACAATTAAGATCGTAATATAATTAATTTATAAGAAGAAAGATTAATGGGTTTCCTATATATTTTCCTCGATCCATATTATAAGATACTTTTAACCATTTCATATATTTTAAGAAAAGTTAGTTTTTTTTATATTATAAAAAAGTGATAGATACTTTTATTTTTATTCTTAACTTTAAATAATAATATAACTACATTAAATACCTTCACGCTAATTAAGAATGGATAAAATAAAAAAATAATTTAATTATTACAATATGCCCTATATTTTGGACAAAAAATTATTTCTAAAAATATCTTATATATATGATTGAAAGGAGTAAATAATTTTTTATGAGGCCTAAGGCAATTGCCTTAATGGCATAAAGGCTTACATGGCCATGATGATGAGGTATGCCAAGAGAGAAAAAAGAGAGGTGGTTTGGGAATTCATCATACAAGTCTACAAAATAAGACTTTTATGATGAAGGTGGGATGAGGATTGATAAATAATAAACATGCTTTGTGGATTAAAGTTATTAAAAGTAAATATTATTGTGGAGATGAGTTACTCCCCAATATTGATAGACCTTGGGTGAGGTCATGTTTGCAGATGGAAATTTGAAACAGTCAGGAAAAAGTTATGTAGGAATCTAATTAGGTTGTTAGGCGTCATGGAAATGAAGCTATTCAATAAAAGTTTGAAAAACATGGTAATTTTTTTCTTAAATTTGCTTATAGTATGTTTAATGGTGATAATGATTATTCTCATCTTATTTGAAACAAAATTTGAAAACTAAACATTCTCTATAAATGTACATCTTTCTTTAGGTTAACTCTTCATAATAAGTTTTCGACTAATGAAGCTAGAAAGATTAGAGGCATGAGTGATTTGGCCTCTTATGTGTGGCATAACCATGAAGTGGAAGATTCTCTTTAAGATCTCTGAGATTGTGAGGAAATTAAATCCTTGTAGATCTCTATCATCAAATTGAGTCTTCTCCCAAGTTCTTCCAATTGTAATATGTTGGATTGGCACTATTTGAATGTTAATGCAACAGTGGGGCAAGTTGAAGGCTATTAGGAGGATTAGTTTGTAATTATTTGCTGGCTCCTCTTTAAACCGAAATGACAAAGTCTTTAGAAATACCACTACTTGCACCCAACAAATATATGTGCTAGTGCCAAGCTGAGACGTATGAAGGGGGCAAGGGGGAGTTTCATTGGTCCTTTGAATTTTTTTTAGAAATTTTCTTTTTGTACTTATAAGAAAGTGTAAAAATTAGTGTTGCCCCCACATATTTTAAGTAGTTTTCAATTTTTGCCAAGGCTATTGTTTCGAGATATAATGAACATCTGGGTTGGAGTGTTGTGAAGGATGTGAGGACTCCCACTATGCTGAAGGAAGGTTGGGTTATTGTTCATCATGTCGATGGAGCTTATTCTCGTCTTAGTAATCATATGAGCCGCAGGGCATGATTAAAGACAATCATCAATTTCCATTGGAAGCTTTCGTGCTTAAAATCCTACAGGGAGATTCTCTTGTAATTGAACTTTGAGCTTGTTTTTTTTTATCTTCGAAGAGCATGGGACGGTGGACATAGGAATGTGAGTTTGAGAAGTGACTCATTAGAGACTTTGAATCCGATCAAAGATAGAAATATTGACATTTATGCTAACTGGGTTTTGATCCTTGAGTGCTACAATTTTCTTTATTAAGATTGGATTGTTGATCTTAGTTACATCCGTAAAGAGGAAAGTGTTGAAATTAAAGCTAACAACTTTCTACCATTATAAATTATTTTTATTAGATAGAATATGAATAATAAAATATACCTGATCAATATAAGAATTTTGGACTTAGCTTTGCTTCTCTTAGGCTTTTCTTGGAGGAGCGTCTGCTGAGTTCCTCCACCAAATTTGAACTGTTGAGATTTAATATTTTATTTTTTATTTTTATTAAAGTAAAAAAAATTATAAAAATGATAATTTTTTTTAAAAACTTTGTCACCAATCTAGACAGCCTAGATTTAATATTAATGATTCAAATTTAATATTTAATTTTTTATAAATTGATTATCTAGACAAATATACTCTAAACAGTGCAGATTTAATATGAATAATTCAAATCTAATATTAAAATTTTTTATAAATTGGTTATCTAGATATCTTTTGAATAGTACAAATATTTGTTAAAAAATATTTTTAAAAAATTACAAGTTAAATATTTTATATCAAACTATACATTTGAATAATCCACTTATATAAATTATAAAAAAATTAAATATTAAATTTGAACCATTAATATTAAATTTAATCTGTCCAGATTAGTAATAAGGTTTTTAAAAAATTTATCATTTTTATAATTTTTTATTTTAATAACCATAAAAAATAAAAATATTAAATTTGAATTTTTTAAATTAATCTAAACAGTTCAGATTTGATGGGGGTCCTAAGCGGATGCTCTTTCCAGGAAAGCCAGCTCCAAGAATTTCTGGTAAATACGAGGGATTATATTTCTCGAATATCAAGCTGTGTTTTAGATCCTCCACTATCATTATCCCTCAAACGAGGGCATACGAAAGTAGCTGCAATAAGCGAGTGGCGAAGTCAACAGACTGTATCCAAATTCAACGTACTTTCATTAAACTTCTTCCGCATAACGTGTTGCGTTCCGTCTACTTTTTATTATTTAATAAAAAATTAATAAATAAATAAATGTCTTTGCAATTTCCTGCTTCTTTCATTCATCTCAGCTTACCGCTATTTCCACTCTTTTTCTTTTAATATGTCCACCTTAACTTCATCTCCTTCACGGTAATTTTTTTTTTGTCTCCTTTGAAGATAATTTAATATTTTTACAGTAAATTTAAATTTTTTCATTTACTATTCATCATCCTTCCTTTGATTTTTTCTATGACATCCACGTTCACTTCACTATGGTTTATTTAATTAATTATTCTTAATGACATAAAAATTAAAAAAAAGAAAATATGTATAAAGTGAAAGTCTACGTTCTCTCTTCTTTGTTCACTCCGTGATTTCCTCATGTTTCTTTGTAAATGCTTATCGTATATTTATAAGTTGAATGTAGGACTACAAATCTTAACTTTTTTTTTATTAAAAAATATTCTTCTTCAATATGTGCAAAGTGCCTTTTTTTTTTCTTTTTACGTTAAATGGTTGTCCAATAAAAAAATGATGGTATAGAAAATCGTTCTCCAATCATACACATTCACAGTTTTTCCCCCCATAAAATATTGAGATGCCATGTTCAATATTTAAATCAAATTTGACAAAAATTCAGGTAGACATAAACATTGTAAATATTATCAAATATTAATATTAAAATTATTAAAAAAATTTAGAGAATTACTATAATTTCTTAAAATATTATTATGAATTTTATTTAATAATTATTAAAATGATATTAAATTACACATGTCCTAAAATCTTACAGTATACAGGTAATTATTACACATGTACGCAAAAATAGCTGTAAATTCTTACCAGGTTCGTAAAATTAATTACTTGTAATTTTGTACTTGTGATAATGTTGACGTTACACGCGTACCTCATGTGCAGGAGGTGGCAAAAGACGGAAGAAGGCTATGGCCAAATCAAATGAAAAGGGTCAAAGAAGGATTCAACATTGTATCGGAGAACACGCAAATAGAACGAAACCTACCCGGTCCCACTGGGCCCCACCACGACTCCTTCCCTATATATATTCCCTCTTTTCTCGCTTCTCTCTCTCTCAACAAACTCATTCACCCTCAACGTTCAACTTTCAAACCCAGCCTTTGACTGATTCTCCAAATTTCTTCTTCTTCTTCTTCTTCTTCTTTTTCTTCTTCTAGATTTAGCTTCAGCCATGTCGTGCTCCGTTGCTCTCTCCAACTCTCCGGTCTTCTCTCCGTCGTCTTCCCTCTTCTGCAACAAGCCTTCCGTCATCACTTCCTCGCCGGAATCGCTATCTCTCTCCTTGTCCCACCTCAAGCCTTCTGCATCCGCTTCGTCCTCTTCTTCGCCTTCTTCTCCTTCATCGCCTTTCCGCCTCCGCCTCCTCAAGCCTCCCCCTCCTCCTTCCTCAAGCCTTTCCAATTCCGCCTCCGCCCCCGCTCCTTCCTCTTCCACCTCGCCTAACGGTACCGTCTTGAAGAGGAAGAGGCCCACAAGGCTTGATATTCCGGTCTCGTCTCTCACTTTTGGGGTTCCGGCAACGCCGTCTGCTTCGGTGGCTCGAGATGCTTTAGAGGCTGAGGGATTTGGGTTTTCTGTGTATTGTAAGAGAGGAAGGCGAGAGTACATGGAAGATCGTTATTCTGCTGCCGTCAATCTTCAAGGGCAATCCAAACAGGTAATTAAGAAGCTCTGAGACTTTAGATTGGCTTCCTGATCTAGTCGTTTGAAGCAATAATTGTGAAATGTTTGCCTGTCTTGTCATTTTGAAGGAGAAAATTAGGTTAATAGATTTGATTGACCTTTTAATAATTCGAAGGAGGAGTTTAAGTCCTTTATCTTATGTTAATAGAAATAACTGATGCAAAAAAGGCTGACAGAAAAAATTTATAAAGATCCAGTTGGACTAATGGAATTTTGATTTAGTTGAGTCGTGGAATTTATACTGATATGCATGAAGGCTAACGTGAAGAAATTTGGGAACGACTATTAATCATTTGGGCGTTAATATTTTCAAGTCTGCAGAAATCTGCTTCGCTAGGTGGATGTAGAAGTTATAAGATTCTTGTATTTACCAATTTGTTTGTATCATTATGGCAGGCTTTCTTTGGCATATTTGATGGGCACGGAGGTTCAAAAGCTGCTGAATTTGCTGCACGTAACTTAGAAAAGAACGTCATGGATGAAGTGGTAAGAAGAGATGAAGATGACATAGAGGAGGCAGTGAAACATGGGTACCTGAACACTGATTCTGATTTCTTAAAAGAGGATGTTCATGGTGGCTCCTGCTGTGTAACAGCACTGATCAGGAACGGAAACCTTGTTGTTTCTAACGCCGGCGATTGCCGTGCTGTTATTAGCCGAGGAGGCGTTGCAGAGGCCCTCACATCTGATCACAGGCCCTCAAGGGAAGATGAGAAAGACAGAATTGAGACCACTGTAAGCACTTGATATTCATATCATATAGCATTTTTCTGGACGTGTCAGCCATTTCCGATTCAAAAAGCTTAAACTGTTGTTTGAATTTTGTTTTCAGGGTGGCTATGTTGATTTATGCCACGGGGTCTGGAGGATCCAGGGATCTCTAGCCGTTTCTAGAGGAATTGGAGATCGGTACATGAAGCAATGGGTGATAGCTGAACCTGAGACTAAAGTTCTCAGGATTGAACCTGAACATGACTTGTTGATATTAGCTTCAGATGGATTGTGGGATAAGGTGTGTTAGATTCAAACATTCAATTTATGATGTTCTGATTAGTTTATTGCCACTGAACTATTTAACTGAAAAATGGTTTTTCCTTTTGATTCTCGTTTCAGGTTACTAATCAAGAAGCTGTGGATATTGCTCGTCCTCTTTGCATTAGGGGTAGCAACATAGCACGTCCATTGATGGCCTGTAAGAAGCTTGTAGATTTGTCCGTTTCACGAGGTTCAAGTGATGACATAAGTGTTATGCTAGTAAAATTGGAACACTTTATTTAAAGAGTTTCTTTTTTGTTTTTTGTTTTGGAGTCAAGAGGTGAAGAAATTCATCTGGGCTACGTTCCATTGGGGATTTTTATTCTCTGACTGGAAGAAGCTTTAAATAAGAAAGGTTGGATTATTCTGCAGAAGAATTTGGTGACGAAGATGGTGAAGGCGGCGATGAAGGAGGAAGGTGGTGATCTGATGTTATTTGTTATTATTATTATTAGATAGCTAAATTCTTTTTGTAAATATCTGACCATATTTTTTGTAATTTTTTCTACTCCTTAGAGGGATGAGATTTAATTTAACAATATTATAACTTGGATTAAATTTTCATATTGTTGACCGATAATAAGCACCTAATGTGATTCATTTTATTCTTTGCCTTCTTTTTTTTTTTTTTAGCCATTCATTGTGACTAATCTAAAAGCATCTTTGAAAGTGTTCCTTCCCTGTGAAGTGAAACCTGTTGTGATCATTAAAGTTTTCAAGACTAATTCAACCAAACTTTTTTGTTTCAATTTTATTTTTTAAAAGAGTGATTAGATTTGACCTTTTGAGGTTGCGTTTTGTATACTTGAAGGCAAAGATGCACCAAGCTGAAGTTATCCCATTTGCTGGATGTAACAAATGTCCAATAATCTTTTTACAGGTCATTATAATTTTTTAAAAGAAAACTTGAAGCCATCAATTGGATATGAAATACAGCCAACCATCTTGGATTGCGTCTTGTTTTGACTGAGATGAAGCATAACTATCAGTTAAAGATAATTGGGACAATGATAATTGAGTACGCTGAAAATAAATATTAATATGAAATAGGGACCATCAAGTTAATAAATATTAATCTGAGCCATAAAATTTATGGATACGTACCTAGTGCTGTGTTATGGATGCAGTTGAGAGTATTGACGGTGAGTTGAGTTTTTATTGAATGGCTAGGCCTTGGAAGAAGGAGATGAATAAAAAAAAAAAAACTTTTCATCTTCAAAGTACACAATAATATTTATATACTTTATATACTTTTTAAAGCATATTATCACAGCCTTAGAATTTCTTTTTTCTTAAACCGTACTGGCTTTAGCATGATCAACCTTTTGATCTTTGATAAGTCAACCAAACCCTCAAGATATACATAAAGAAATTAGAAAACTTGAACACGAGAGAAGAGAGCTTGGATAAGAAAACTTGAGAGTTTAGAACTTTAATTATTTTCTTTGTTATTTACAAATGAGGGGTTGTGGAGATATTTATAGACCTTCTCCTTTTTTTAGAAAATTCCTACCTCCTTAACGGACGGTGGAGACCAATATAATCCTACGATTTACATTTATCCTTTAGAGTGTTCCATAAAAATATTTACAATAAATATCTAGATACTTATAAAGATATTTTTAGAAACTAACCTTCAAGATATGTGTGAAATATTTTAGAATATTCTAGAATATTCGAGATATCTTCACATTCCTCCATAAATTTCTAGAACCTTTTAAAAACTTCTAGATCTTTCTAGATTTCTCTAAATAATTTTAGATTGTTCTATATGCTTTTAGAATATTCTATAATATATTGGATCCTTCTTGAAAGTTCTGGAATTCTCTCTGTTATCCTGAAAGTTTTTAAAAATTCTACAACCTTATAGGTTTTCTTATATTTGAACATAGGTTGTGACATTCTCCCCACCTAATCTAGTGACGCCCTCGTCATTGACTTGATTCCTGTACTTAGGATTCCTTTTGCAAGGATACTTCTTCTTCTTTGTCACGAGGCCATTACTCTCTCTTCAAAAGCTAGCTCATCGAAGTGCGGTGCATACCTCTCTCGCCTTCCATCTAAGGGGACCACACCATTCTATCCATGGGTGGTCAAAGTATCATTACCTTCTCTCTCACAAGCTGGCTCAATGGAGTGTGTAGCACACCCACTTATATAACCAAAACCCTCCTCAAGTCTTTTCAATGTGAAACATAACAACTCTCCCAATCAATCTGTGATGTCCCCGTCACGAGTGGCCCACTAGAGGGGCCCACCGACTAGGCAAACTCAGATCTAGCTCTGATACTACTTTATCACGGCCTTAAAACTTTCTTTTCCTTAAACCGTGCTAGCCTTAATGTGATCAACTTTTTGATCTTTGCTAAGTCAGCCGAACCCTCAAGATGTAGGTAAAGAAACTAGAAATTCACACAAGAGAGAAGAGAGCTTGGATGTGAGAACTTGAGAGCTTAGAACTTTGATTACTTTCCTTATTGTTTACAAATTAAGGATTGTGGAAATATTTATAGGCCTCCCACTTTCTCTAGAAAATTTCCACCCCCTTAACGGATGGTGGAGACTAATATAATTCTACGATTTACATTTATTCTCTAGAGTGTTCCATAAAAATATCTACAATAAATATTTAGATATTTATAAAGATATTTCTAGAAATTAACCTTCAAAATATGTGTGGAATATTTTAAAACATCCTAAAATATTTTAAAAAATTCTAGATATCTTCACATTCCTCCATAAATTTCTAAAACTTTTTAGAAACTTCTAGATCTTTCTAGATCTTTCCAGATAATTTTAGATTATTCTATATGCTTTTAGAACATTTTAGAACATACTGGATCCTTCTTGAAAGTTCTGAAATTCTCTCTATTATCTTGGAAGTTTTTAAAAATTCTACAACCTTGTGGGTTCTCTTATATTTGAACATAGGTTGTGACAGTATGATCAAATTCATACAAGTTTAAAGTTTTTGATTTTTTAAATATTCATCAAAATAAAAATTTATAAAAATGATAAATTTTTTGATAAAATTATTAATCACCAATCTAGATAATATAAATTTAATTTAAATATTTTAATTTAATATTATTTTTTAATTTTTTATAAATGGACTATTTATATGTATTTTTAACTATCCAAATTTAATATTAAATTTTTTTATAATTCTTATAAATTTTTATTTTAATAAGTACAATATTAAAAATACAGATAATATCCTGACACTTTCCAATAAATATTTTTTAAAAAATATTACAAGTTAAAAATTTTAAAAAGTTATAGTTCAAGTTGTAAAAAATTCCTTATTTTACATTAATATTCTTTCAAAATCTTTAATTGTTATTCTCTCAACGTAATTTTCTCTGCTTTGAGAGATTTTAAAAGTTAAATATTAGCTTATTTTTTAAGGTAAATTTATATTTGGTATGAATAATTTTTAGGAAGGCAAGATATAGAAAAAAAAAAGGAAAAATTAATTCTCAAGTTCGTATAATTCATTAATTTGCCTTAATTTTGAGTAAATTCATATCGTTTATTTGCTTTGAATTAGGCCCTTATAAATTAATACCTTATAATTTAATCCGTTATAGGCATTTATTCTTGAGATTACAAACCATTATATTATAATACCTTTAATTTTGATGAGTTGGAGGTTGGCTAAGCAAATACCTAGGATAAGAACAAACTAAATCACTCTTCCCCTAATAATAAATATAATAAAATTTATTAATGTATATTATAAATGTAAGAATCATCACACTCTCTAAAAATTTTATAAATTATGATTCTTAATTCTATAAATTAAATTACTTTTCTCCTTTATGAATGTAGCACTGATTCTCTTTGATTATCTTATTTTTTATTTTTATTTCTTTAATTAATTTATTTTTAATTAGCAAACAAGACCCTAATTAATGAGATGGTATTTGGTCCAAAAAGTATAGCAGAGGGGAAGGATCGCTCCATTTTATTTTATTTTTTTTTTTTCCAATTAATGAGAGGGGAGGTCCTCCCCTTTTGGTTTTTCATCCAAATAAGGGAATCAAAATATTTTGAGCGAATTACTTTGAAATCGCAGACAATGCAATTAAATATTTTAATGTCCATTGATAATTAAATAAAAAAATGACAAGTTATCGATAAATTTGTTATATTTAAATGTATTGTGTGAGGCTTGTATATAATTCTCTCAAATTTTTTCTTCCTTCCTTTTCAACCAGACACGTGGCAACGTGAGTCTTGTTCCCCCCAAGTGGAAGGGCTAGTGCGTGGCGGGAGGAGACCGTGTACAAAGCTACCAACCAAAAGATGAACAAGTTGTTACAGTATCGTTCGCCAATAGGCTAATGTTCATGGAACTTACACGTCTTTGCTTGCCACTCAAGGCAAATTTGGTGGGGAAAATCGAAAGGCTACGAGAGGTTGCAATAACGTGGCATTATGCTTTGCCTTTCCCTACTTTGATTTTCACCAAAATAACAACTTTTATCGTTAATGAGAGAGTAAAATACTTCAACTTCCTCTCTATTTTACCTTAATTACATCTTCTTCCTTTCTAGTTTAGAAATCTATATGAGCCTCCTCTATTATATATAGTTATAAAATACAAACATTTTCTCTATTTTTAACATTTCATTTTCATTCATCTAATTGTTAACTGATCATTAAGTTATATTTATTAGACTACAATATCCCATTTTTAAATATAAATGGGAGCTTTTGCAAATATAACCTATGTTATAAGACTAAACTAAGCAAATAATTCAATATTTATTATATTTTATATTATGACTAGTTTATTATATTTGTCAATGATGTATCATTGTATATCAATGTAAATTGGTTGCATTCCACAATTTTTAAAAAAATTAATTTATATTTTTTGGGTACAAATTTTTTTCCAACTAGTGGGCTAATTTATCCATATAAATGTTATCTAAAAATCATTTAAAATTAAAAATTTAATGCATAAGTTTTTTATTTATATTTTAAATGTTTAATTGTGTAAATGTATTTACTTAGTAACATTTTCTAAAATCTAAATATATAAATTGTGCACAATAATATTTCAAACATGCAATTAAAAAAATTAATGAAATAAATATTTAATATAATAAATTACTCAACATAATTTATATTTATTTTTTTATTTTATTAATTTTAACATAAATTTTTTATTTTTATTTAAATATTGACATAATTATTTAAAGTTTTTAAAGTTGGGAAAGATAGTAGAAAATTAGATCATAAGGATAAAATAAAAATGTTAAAATTTTTAACGTAATTGCAAATAAAAAATTAAGTATTTGAGAATATTTAACAAAATATTCCTAATAGTGTTAACAATTAAAATAATGTATAGGTTTTGAAAATAGAAAGAAGGTCTTTATAATTTAAACAAAACAGAAGGAAAGTTATTGTATTTTACACTTAATGAAAATAGCTATTTTTTTTAATTTTTTTTTCTTTCTTGTATTCAAAAAATAGGTAAGTAAGTAAATTATCTTTTAAACTTTAGTTCTAGTAATATCATAAATGTTGAACTTATTTATTGTATACATTTTTTTTCAACTTTTAAAAATAATACAATCTGTTCTTTACTATCAAC